GGGAAATTTTAAATATTCGTATAGAATTGTGATTACAATATAAAATTATATAAAATATAAAATTTATATAAGGATTTTGACTTGGCTTTTGATTTTTTTCATAATGGATTGCATTCTGGGTTTGCTCTGAGGGGTCCCTTCAAAACCTTGCTTCTAAGGATACTCTCAGGGACTATCTGAGTGTGGTCAAGGATAACTCCCTGATATTAGCTCAGAGTTCAGCCAGGCCTCAGCCTGCCTTAGCGGCATGGCAGACATCCAGAGGGTGGTGCACAGGCACCAGCCTTGATCTCCTTTGCTCCCTCACTGTGTTTTGAAAAGCTCACCACATCCAGAAAACTCTTATATCCAGAGTAACAGGCACCATACCTCTCCAAGAAACATCTTTATTCCTTAGAAGAATAATCGATCCTCTAAAACTATGAAGCTAATGACTCCTGGGAGCTCTTTAAATTGACAGAAAGTCACAATAGACACCACACAACCTTTAAGAATAGACACACAGCCACAGTTACATACTTAGGTATATTCTGCTACAAAAATCACAAAATACCCCTACCATTCAGATTTAGTTACCAAGTGAAATGTTTCCTAGAAAAACATAAAATTAAAGGTTCTCTAGAAGCAATTTCCAGTCATGTTAGAAGTGTAACTCTGGTTAATAAAGCAAACAGGAATTGAATATTGCTTTCCCACAAGGCCTGCTGCTAAGCACTTGAGAGAGAAATGGACGAAGCTTTATAGAACTCAATTCAGTGTTAAGTGATTAAGATCCTGAAGGTTTGTCAGTAAATGGAGGAAGAGAAGCTGCTGCAGAGGCTTCCTCTGTGAAGTACTTGGAACACATTCTCACATGTGCTCAGCATTTTAAAGATTTTATCTCCTTTGATCTTTACAGCTACCTAGGAGGTAAGTGGTATTCCCATTTTACTCACACCATAACACCCACTTTCCTGAATCTCACTGGTAGTTTAAATCCTGAAATGAATTTCTTTATTTTGTGTCTACCCTAAGGACCAATGTATAAAAAAGCTCCAGATCTGGTCAATGTTTGGGTTTCTTCTCATCTCTCCTGAGCTTTATCCCATGTTTGACAAGTGCCTCTAGCAGGAATAAGACATTTTTGCTTCTGCCAGATTTGAATAAAAATGTGATAGGAAAGGGAAGCATTTTTCCTGCCTCATCCATCAATTTCATTAAAAGTGGATCACATAGGTGTCTTATTGTTTTAAAGAAACACTGGAACTTTTCTCTACATATAAATGTAAAATGTGACAATGAATACAAAATATAAAAGGACATTTAATCTATTAAACTTATGCTGCATTAAATAATATAGTTATATAAAATTGATATATGTGGTTGTTAATAAAAACATTAATAGACTATTGCTAAGTTTCATGTTTAATRATGATGTTATTGTTATGCTTGAATTCGGGACCCCCAAAAGACCACCAGAGACCAAGATCGATGTAAACAGCAAAGAGGTGTTTATTGCAAGCTAGCTGGGTCCTCCACSCACACACAGCAACTGGTGACGCTGAGAGGYCCCSAGCCCAGGGTTTGCAGCAGTTTTATACATTCTTTGGAGAAGGCAGGGACCCCCACATACATCATAGCATCTCTKAGCAAATCATCACACACCKAGGGAAAATCAAAYAACAACTCTAAAACATGATTAGCACATTCACTGGCAGGAACAAGTGGGGTAGGGGTGATTGGTTACTACAAAAGGGTTATTCATTTGAACTGATTGCTCATTTGAATTGATTGGTTTAAGCCATGAGGGGTGTTCATGCTGAATTACACGGTTTCCCAACACCATAAACTACTGGGAGGGTCATCTGGCATCCGAGGTATTTCCCTGTCTCATGCTGATTGGTGGCTGCTAGGGGGTTACTATGGGTCTCCACCTAGCCTGACTGAGTCAGGGACACCTGGCGCAGCAAATCTCTCCCGTTATTTGTAGATAAACAACTTAGCAGGGTGGGAATGCGCCTAGGAGTGCTCTGTGGGTCTTTCCAAGGACAAAGATCATGTCCCTTCCTTGGACAGGCTTTRCTCTGAGGTAGAGGCTGGTTTTTCAGTTATGGTTGTGGTTTTTGAAAGAATCCTTATCTTTAGAAGACACATTGAATATTTACAAAGAGAAATATGAAGTGTGTCTGGGGCTGGGTTGTGACCCATTGGTAATGTGCTTGCCTAGTACATGAGAGGCCTTGGGGTTTGATCCCCATTGTCACATAAAAATGAATGAATGGAATAAATGTATTGTGTCCAACTACAACTAAAAAATAAATAATAAAAAAAGAAATATGCAGTGTCTGGTGTATGCATCAAAACAATATAGTACAGGAGAGGATAGAGAAGAAATAAGTTTAGTAAAAAATTCATCATTTTTGAAGGTGAATGATGGGTATTCATCACACTAGTTTCTCTAATTATGTAAATGACAGATACTTTATATAAGATTTTTATAAGAATAGCTTAGCCCAGGTGCAGTGGCGCACAACTACCAGCTACTCAGGAGGCTAGGGCAGAAGGATCACAAGTTCAAGGCCAACCTGGGCAATTTAGCAACACACTGTCAAGAAAGAAAGAAAGAAAGAAAGACATGCTTAAATTGAAAATAAGAGAGCTGATTACTATTAATTTTTCATAAATAAGTAAATAAATGAATTTAAAAATATGGAATGGGGGGGCAGGGTAACCCAGAATTGAACTCAGGGGCACTCAACCACTGAGCCTCATCCCCAGCCCTATTTTTGTATTTTATTTAGAGACAGGATCTCACTGAGTTGCTTAGGGCCTTGCTAAATTGCTAAGGTTGGCTTTGAACTAACAATCATCCTGTCTCAGCCTCCTCAGCCTCCCCAGCCACTAGGATTACAGGCATGCACCACCGCAACTGGCCTAAAATATATGGAAAATTGAAAAGCTATTTTGCATACACACAACAACATTCCATTGTTTTTTAGTAATGTTGACCTGTAGGACTATTTCTAGGCAAAACTGAAGGTCTATGTACTTCTTAGATCTGTCTCAAAAAATATGTGTGCATGTTTATTTTAAATTTTACTGATATAAAAGGATCTTTTATTACCAAATTCACAAATAACAATAAAATAATATTCTTTGTTGTAAATTTCATATAGTTGGTTTTCACAACACAATTTTACTGATTTYGTTGGTGCTGTTTAGCTCTTGAATCTGTAACCAACCAATGGCTGCAGTGGACAGATAAGTGTACTTCATGTGTATGTTGATTATTTTTATATATGTTAAAGGGTAGAATGCAAAGGATATGTGAGAACTTCATTTGTTCCTCATAATGTGAGGAGTGTTGTTCAATAGTACTTTCCCAGCATATGTGAAGCCCTAGGTTCAATCCCTAGCACTACAAAAACTGCAACAGAAATATCTGCCAGCTGGGAGTGATGGCCAAACATCTATTATCCCAGAGGCTTCGGAGGCTGAGACAGGAAGATCATGAGTTCAAAGCCAGCCTCAGCAAAGGCAGGGTGCTAAGCAACTTAGTGAGACCCTGTTTCTAAATAAAATACAAAATAGTGCTGGGGATGTGGCTAGGTGATCGAGAGCCCCTGAGTTCAATCTCTGGTACCTTTCCCTCCCTGCTCTGTCCCCCAAAAAATGTCTGGCATACATCTACAATAGACACAATAACCTCAAGTGCACAAATAATAGTAAAACATAATAAAAATTATTAGGAAAAGAGAAGTTTATTTTTATAATTTCATTGCAAGTTTGCATTAATTTGAATTCTGAGAAATAGCTGATGTGTGACCATTTGCAGAACTACAAAATAATAAATAAGCTCATATGATTCAACACAAAACATATTCAGGATGTTTGCAATGGTGGAACAGTTAGGGGAAGGAGGGATAATGATGACATATTAAGAGCCAATCCTATTTGGGGGGCACTTTCAAAGTCAGGCACTGTGTAAAGCTAAGTTTGATTCTCTGTGGTTTTCAGCAACTGAAACAGAATTGCATTGGTTCTTTTCTACTTCTCCCACACAGTTTGGAAATATGGAGACRAAGTCCAGAGAATTTCTGGCACTTTGACTCCAATTAAGAATGTGAAACACTGTATATGCAAATAGTGTTTGAGTTATTTGACAAAATTTTCAATCTAAGTATACTGGGAGAATGAGTACTTCTTTTTGAAGCATTAAACACAACAATTAAGTCCCTGCTTCATTTAACACCTACTGCATTACCACCTGTGCATTTTGAGCTGCCTTCCAGCTTCTGAGAATTGATTCCTTATTTGTGAGTTAAGTAGTAATAGTACCTGTGCAGATACTCATCTCAAAGTAATCATGCAGTTCAGATGGGAAAAAAGAAAATGAAGAGTACTTTATAAACAGTCAAATTTTGCAAAGCAGTGGATTATTTATTACAGAACCAGCGGGCTCTGCCCCTAGACTGTAAGAAGCATTCATCCCTTGGCAATTTTAAACATTAGTAACATTTGTTTTACAAACCATGTTGTAGAATTAGCTTCACAAGAGTCTTCAAACAGCTGGCTCATATTTGATTGATCAATCTATGTAGTTTCTTTTTTTATTCTGAAAAAAAGCCTTCTCTTGGTACATATTAATAGTTGTCAAAAAAAAAAGGAACAAATGCAATTTATAATTGAAAGCTCATATGGTTATGGAAATATTTACAAAACATTCAGGTGTTTGAAGCCTTCCCATTGCAGTCAGGGGCTGGTGCTCTGGGAGGGAAGAGTGGAGCCCCTCCCCCTCCCCCTTAGGTCCTAATTTCCTCCCAGTAGGATCTGCTCCCAGAGTTTACTTGGGTCATATGGCTCACTCACTGTTGCCATAAAAACAGGGCTGAGCATAGAGTGTTGAAAGCCACTGAAACTGGAGGAAACTAGTCACAAACACCCTGACGATCAGCTGAGAGACTGTTTGTGCCACCAGCACTCTTTCCAGACTGGTGCAAGTGTACAGAGGCTGACCAGGCCTCCGTGCTGCTCAGCCTGATCCCCTGCGATCCTTCCCCATGCTTGAGAGCGCGGAGCTGTACTTCAATGTGGACCATGGCTACCTGGAGGGCCTGGTCCGAGGATGCAAAGCCAGCCTCCTGACCCAGCAGGACTATATCAACCTGGTCCAGTGTGAGACCCTGGAAGGTAAGTGTGTTCTTCTCGCCCTTTAAAAAGGAAAAGTGGAAATGAGGTCACTCTCTGGAAGCAAGGAGAAGGGACCATGATCCCATTGGTCTGTGTCCTAAGGAGGTTCTTGTTTCTGGAGTCCAGATTTGGGTGTGTTTATGAACTTGGAAGAGGAAAAAAAAAATTAGATCTCCAGTTAATCTAAGTGAAATTTAACACTTCCTTTCATCATGAACAATCAAGGTGGTTGGTGTAAGCAGTACCTGTGGCTTTGTCACCAACAAAAATTAAATATTTTCATATCCATTTAACGTTCTTGTAGATACCTTGAAAAATCATGTATGTTTTTTTTTCTTTTTGGAAGCCAGAATAAGAGTAAGGATTACACTCATCCTTTAAGTTTGATTTTTAACATCTTATTAAAGAAGCACAATATTTATTTTAAAAATTTTGGATATCTATATTTTAAAATATTAGTAATCTTATGTATTTTCATTCTACTTATTTATAAACAATATTTGGAAAAGTGTTTCACCAAATTGTCAGAAGATAAATGGGAAAAAAAATGCAAAAAATCAGGTCRGTGGTGGGCACAGCCCTGGATTCAGAACCCTGGCTTTGACCTCTGCCATGTGTCCATGGGTGCCTCCAAGTCCCCATTTGTCACATGTGATGGCAAATGCCCATTTAGGTGAGTTACAGGGAGAAATAAACAAGGTATATGGAAATTACCTTTAAACCACGTTTTTTTTTTCAAAACCTTACCAAAGATCCCATATTTGAAGTAGTATTTTCATTATTAAGAACAAGCTTCACTTGGTCATCTTGAAGCATAATTGTAGAGTCAATAAAATGCTTCAAAACTTCCAGATTACGCTAAAAGAAACCTGTAAGCACTAAGGATAAAGCTTCTCAGGAAAGGTAAAAACAAACTGAAAAGTCTTCTGAAGGTGACTTTGCAGGCTTTTCAGGTAGAGCAGAAGAGTGCTGAGGTCACTTGTTTATGGTTGTGACCAGTTAAAGCCAGAGTTAAACACCCAAACTGAGTTACACCCTGTCCTTTCCTCAGCAGTGGAAACAGCTAGAATCTTTCAGATGGTAACTAATTCTGTTGGCTACAAGTAATTACAATACAATTCCAATCCTAAATCTCTTCAGCACATTAAATTAGGAGTCTGGTGACTGGAGAATGTTAATCATGTATAGAAAAAATCTGCATAAATATGACAAACTTAAAGAACACAGAGCAGAATAAGTGCTTCTGAGAGAAGCCATTTAAATAAGTTCTGTTTCATTTTCACTCAAGCCTTTAAATGAGGTAAGAAATGCAAATTTAAATGTAACCAACACATAAAATATCTTTGCAATACCAAAAACAGTGTTTAGCCTGCTTACGAGAATTCAGAGAGAAACCATGGAAAATCCATATCTTAAGTCATGGAAAGAATTCTAGGAAACAAATAGGTTAACAAAAAAAGATTAAAATTAGGAATTTAAAAGTCATTCCCAATGTTTTCTGCTATGGGCCCTTTTGACCAAAATATTCTGTTGAGATAGGGAGAGAATTAAGGAATGAGGTTAACAGATCTAGCATCTAAATAAGTACTCAGCTGAATTTGGAAGCTTCATTTGCAATTTGGGAAAGAAAGAATACTTTCAGACCCTTTTGGAGACCTCAAGAATGAAGCTTCTTAGAAATAAATATATATGTGCACACATACAATTTTCCATACAATGTCAGGGGATCATGGACCCATCCTTGTACCCTGTTTAAGAAACACTGCCATATACACATTGCTTTGTCACTTTAACATCTCGTCGTTTCTACCATCTCAGTAATATATATTTTTTCGTTTATTCATTTCGAGTCTGCATGCCAATCTACATTTGGAGGCTCCCAGAAATATTAAGTATGAATCATCAAACCACGTTTGGGTAATTATGGCTGCTGAAAAAAGTAAATCTAGGGCTGGGGATGTAGCTCAGTGGCAAAGCTCTTGCTTAACATGTGCAAGGCCGCAGGTTCAATCCCCAGTGCAGCAAATACACAAATAAATGAATTTAAATAAGAATTTCATACRTCCTCATTTAACAGTTGAGGACACTGAGACTTAGAATGGCTGTGATCAACCTACAAACTGTCAGGGGTGGAAGACAGAAATAATCTGTCTTTCCCCGCCAAAATGCTACTACTCCCTGAGTGTAAGTTGAAGATGCATGAATATTTGGATTGAATTGATATCAGCTCCATTTTGATAATAGAAAATAATAAGGACTGCTTTAAATTCGATGGTTTTCCAGGATGTTGGGAAATAACTGAAAAGCAATGCATTTATTGCATCCATAAATGTGCTTAGAGAGACCCAGGCACCTTCAGAGCTAGATTCAGAGTTGAGGATCAGTCAAGGGCATTTTGGGGGGATAGAAATTAAGGACTTAAGGATTTCTGTTGATGTTTGCAGAAAGTGTATACTGTACAAATTATGGATAAAGAAGAGAAGGTAACTGTGTAATTACAGTACTACATGGTAAAGCAGATGCTTTCTGTGAAAGAAAAGCTGACATGGCAAAGGTAGAATTTGCTTTTAGTCCTTTAAAGTCCTCTAATATTTAAAAGTATTCAGATAGCAACAAACTGTGTTAGCAGTACTTACAAGGAACACATAAATCTTCAGGTAAATTTAGAAGAGATAAAGATACCCCAGAAAAGCTGTGGAAAGCCTTAGTATTCATAATTGTGCTAGTTCACACGCATAAGGGAGCAAGTGTGATCAGAAATGCTCATCTATTCCAAGGCCTGTCCCTGACTAACAGGCACCTGACCCTGTCACTGGGACTTCAGTCTTTCCAAAGTACAAAAAAAAAAAAAAAAAAAAGAAGTTAAAAATTAGCCTTACTATTTTTATCAGGATTTTAATTAAAAGTGTGGCTGTCATGTAAACATTCTTTCCTCTTGGAGAAAAACAAGATGGTGAAACTAGTAAAGTTTAGTAATATATGGGCTTTTTCTAAAACATATGGTAAACATGTTCACTGACTCTCAGGATATGGAGAGAACTGGATTGAGTTTTTATTTTGTTCCCCTTTACACATTTTTTGGAAAGGGAATGAAGAGAGCCTATTACATCTCAATAACAATTACATTCCTTTTAAGAGATTTGACTTTCCTTCCATCCTTCTCCAACCATGCTGTCAGGTACGAATTAATTCAGTAATCATGTATTTAGCATTTTCCAGCTAGGAAGTAAAGATGAATAAGATACAGTCCTTGCCTTAAAAGTGGAAAATGAAAATATTAGAAAAATAAGAAATCCTTAAGGAGGATAGTTGGACAGTACCCACCGAAATTACAAATAAATGCACATTCGCCTCAGGAATCCCACGTCCCACAAACAGACATGCACGCATGTGAGATGACAGCTATTMCAGATCTCACTGTGGCGTTGCTTGGAATAGCAAAAGATGGAAGCAAATCGAATGTCCCTCTGTAGGGAACTGGTTAAAATAAGTTATGTAAGATTTATATAATGAATATTCTGCAGCAATAAAAATGGGGAAAGCATGAGGAAGCACTCTTAAGATGTTAGGAATGAAAACATTACTGAGATATATTAAATGAGATAAGTGAGAGGAAGAACCTGGGGTGGAATAATACTCTTGAATAGAAAAGAGTGATAAATTGTAAAAATGTGTCCTATATGATTTTATAGATTCAGACACAGTGTGAAAGGATCYAAGGGAAACAGGAAATAGTAATTATCCGGGGTAGGCAATAAGCGGCAGCAGTGGTAGATGGGTGGATGACAAGTCTAGAACTTTCACTGTTTACCTGTGTGTTTGTGTGTGTATGCCTGCATGCATGCATGTGGTATATACCTACTACCTATTTTTAAATTAAACAATACATATGTGAAGAAGACTCTTATTTCAAAGAACCTTCTCCATGATTCCTTAGACATTATTTGTAATTATAGCACTTATTTTTTTCTGTTTTATATTAAAAATGTATATCCACMAATGGCTTCCATGAAGCAGAAGAAATGTCTCGCTTGGCTTAAAGGCCTCCAGTGYTCTGGCTGGTCTCAAGAACTTCCTCAGCACACTCTGCTTTTTCTAAAGCTATTCCTTCAATCACAAATTCCATTCTCCATGTGGTTTGCCTGAAGAACATTCACTCCCTTTAAAGTCTCCTTTCAATCCTGTTCCTCTATCAACCTTTTAATACTGCTATAACCTTGTGAGGGAGAACTGATAGTCTCTCATTTGTGCTCCAATGTAACTTGCAATGAATCTAATGCTATATAGCATTGGTGACATTTGCATAGGTGTATCACACTGGAGCAGGACACTTGTCTCTGTTGTCTTTGATGATGCAGAGACTATCCAAGTTAGATTCTTAGCTCATGAGTAAGTGCCTCTGTCTCCTACACTATAAGCCAGTTTTGTTGTTACTTTGTTTTGTTTTGTTTTTGTGGTGCTGGGGACAAGCGCTCTACCACAGAGCTACATCTCCAACCCTATCATAAGCTTTTTTATGGGCAGAAAATACACCTGACACTTTTCTCTCTCCTTGCCTCTTATAGCACAAGACTGTGTTTTGCATAGGAAGAATCTCAAAATGAACATTAGAAATGTCTAAACATTCCCCCTCCTTCCTTTCTGTGTCTCTTCTTTCTCTCCTTAATCTCTCTCTCCCTCTTTCCTCTCCATCTTTCTTTTCCCCTCTCTTCTGTCTTTTCTTGCTCCCTCTCCTCTCCTCTCTCTGTCTCTCCTCTCCTAAAAAGAAAAAAAAAGAGGAGAAGAAGAAATGTCTAAATGTTTGGTCTTATGTCAAGCTTTTCTAGCTCCTGGCTATGGGAAAAGTGGGCTGTTGAACCTTTAGCATGGGTACTTTCTTGTCTGATACTGAGATAGTATCTCCCTGGCTTAACTCCCAGTTCAGGAGAGGATCAGAAATATTTGAAGATGGTTTGTAAACTGTCAATCTTAAGTATTTCTGGGAATTTGAGTGCATGTAC